GCGTATGAGTCTTTAGTTGGAAACCTCTATATTGAAATAAACAGGAACATCTCCCCCTACTGACTGTATTACATCATTGAGAAGGCGTTACTGGTGGAAGGGAGGAGTATGTCATCAATACAAGTGTATATGAGAGTTTTCAGGCACTACTGACTTGTCTGTAAAGATGTGTTCATTTATTTGTGGTTGAGGCAGGTGTGATTCCCGTTGCCGTCCAAAGAGTTTTATGTCGTAGTTTATTGTCTTTTATTCACTGTGTAAACTCGCAGCACACAGATACACCGCATCAATCCCCTCCTTAACATCCACAGTCAGGGTCCATTTCTTTTTCTCTGTACCCGACACTTTAAAGCCAGTTTCAAAGTCCTTCTCAATAGAGGGAGAGTTGAAATGGTTGCTTCCAACAAGCACTGGCCCTTCACCTTTTATATGCCTGTACCAGTATTTGTAGTCATAGTCTGTGTCATTCTGGTAACAGTGCATTTGAACTGAAGGTCCTGGAAGGCTGGATATGTCCTCCGGCCATTGAGTGATCAAAACACTGTCACTGAAATCTGCTGGAAATACAAAGATTTATTATCAAAATCAAGATATGTTGTTCATTAAAAATCTACATTTGGTTAAAACCAAGAGAAAAGACAAACCTTTAAGACAAAGCAAAGTGAATAGGAGAAGAAAAGACTCCATTTAGAGATGGTTTTCATGAATTATTCTCTGATGTTCAGTTAAGTTTGTGGATCTTTATTTAAGACACACCCCTTTGTTGCTTAGTCATTGGTGGAAAAATGATGACACTATTCTTCCTTTCCAGAAGCTCTTGCCCTCATAGACAGCAACTCGATCAAAATAGTGCTTGATCCACACCGGACGCCTGTGTAGTTTTACATTACACTGTTAGACCTTACCAGGTTTTTTACAGTAAAATACTGGCAACAATGTTGCCAGTAATTTACTGTAAAAATGCACTAAAACTCAAGTTAACTAAAAAATACAACTTATTAGTTTTAGTGCATTTTTACAACACCGTTGCCAGTAATTTACTGCAAAAATGCACTAAAACTCAAGTTAACTAAAAAATACAACTTATTAGTTTTAGTGCATTTTTACAACACTGTTGCCAGTAATTTACTGTAAAAATGCACTAAAACTCAAGTTAACTAAAAAATACAACTTATTAGTTTTAGTGCATTTTTTCAACACTGTTGCCAGTAATTTACTGTAAAAATGCACTAAAACTCAAGTTAACTAAAAAATACAACTTATTAGTTTTAGTGCATTTTTACAGTAAATTACTGGCAACAGTGTTGCCAGTATTTTACTGTAAAAACCTGGTAAGGTCTAACAGTGTAGCATGTTGCAAAGATGATACTGTAAAGATAATATTGTAAAAGAGTGAGTCATTGAATCATTTGTACAAGAGTTGAGTTGTACAAGATTTTAATTTATTCATGAATTTTAAAAAGTCACTGGCTAAATTGAAAATAGTATTAGCATAGTGTACTACTCATATTTATATCGCAGTCACAAAATGTGGTCTTTCTCCAGAAAATCAACATGATTGCGATTACCTGCGGCGCAAGATCGCTAGTGTACCCTTGTTTGTGTAATAGATTTTGTGTGTGTGTTGTAAACTGTAAGTTTAGTGGTTTGGTTTTTAGTCAGGCAGGTGATAAAGACTTCAGCACTGTGCATACTAGAGGCTGACATTTTTTCGGGAATCCCACGGGTCCCGGGATTCCCGTGGGATTCCCGCAGGATGGGAGTCATCTTTGCTATTAATCACGGGATTTGGACGGTACAGGATAAATGGTTAACGGGAGCAGACGGGAGCGGGAATCAACCAATAGCAAAGACGACAAAAAAAAAAGCAAAAAGTAAATGCACCATTTTGTAGTTTCCTTTTAATACGCCTAAAATGTAGCGAAATTAAAAAATAACTACACGACCCAGCCGTTCCAGAAGCCATCAGTGCTTTTTGTCACGGCTTACCGCCGGAATTCAAAGAGCAGTGATGGAGGGAGCTAATAGCCGCGGAGAAGTCGATGTGGCAAAAAAAAAATATTTACAGAGCAAAATCAGAAGTAATGACATGTCTATTAAGTTCACAGAACTGGTCGGAAAGTCTGAAAAATTAAGTATGTGAGAGTAGAATGTGACGGTGATAGCACGATGTACGCTGCTTGTAAGACATGCATAAAAGGGGGTCGCACACCGGACGAGAAGCGCCGCGCCGTGTCTAGGACAACTCCAGGTAACGTATCGCACACTGGACGCGCACTTTCTCATCAGTGTATGGCCATCAATATTGTTATGTTTAATGACATGAAATTAAGATAATGTCTGTTCTATGTTAGATTGTACTGTACAATTAAATACAATCATTACTGAGTCTGCAGTCTGAAAACTTTACGTCAGAGCATCCGTTCACTGAATGAATTGAGAATCTCAACTGAAAAATCCAATAACATCAGCAATTGTCATTCAAGCAGCTGATTTCTGTAAATGACTGCAAAACTAAATGTAGGCCTATATTACTGCATAGGGTGAAGTCAGGATACATTAGCAACGATTTGAGACAAAAATACTTTAAATTTTATATAAAACTATGTAAATGGCGCTCTGTGGCGCAGCAGGGTTTTGAACACGGTCCTGAGCCGTCGCTGGGCGCCGCGGACAGAAACCGAATGTGTTCGAATTTTAAAGATTCTGCGCGGCGCTGAGCTTCTCGTCCAGTGTGCGACCCCCCTTTAGTCAAGTAGCAAGTGATTCAGGGATGAGCGGTCTGAAGAGGCACGCAAATTCAGGAAAGAATTAGCCATGTTGCAGCCTACACAGCAACATATAACTAAAATTTGTCTCATTATGCAAGAGCATAATTGATGAAAATCGTTTAAAATGTAATTAAAAAAAACTATAAATGTAAACTGTAAATGTATTGTTTACTCAACAATAAATGAGTAAAATGCAGCTTTATGCGCTGTTTGGGTTTATTAAATTGTAGACATGGTGTGATGTACTGTTTTTCTTTTATTTACTGTCTTCCATTTTCTGGAGAAAATCTAGAAACTGGGGCTCAGCAGCTGGTCTAAAACAGGATGGATTGGAGAGGATGCAGAATTGCAGATAAAATCAAATTCTATGTATTAACTAAACATTAATTGAAGAAAAAATATATATGGGAGCGGTACAGGAGTGGGAGTCAGTTTAAACAGGAGTGGGATGGGAGTGGGAGTCAATTTACCAGGAGCGGGATGGGATGGGATTATTTTTTAAACTTTGGTCTGGGAGTGGGACGGGACAAGATTTCTTTCTATGGGAGTGGGACGGGACAGGAGTGAAAATCCACTCCCGTGTCATCCTCTAGTGCATACTGACAGCACAGTAATAAACAGCAGAGTCTGATAGACTGAGTTCAGAGATTTCCAGAGCGCCGTTCAGTATATCTGTTCGTTTCAATGTAAACCGCTCTTTAAATCCATCCTCATAGGTTGGGTCACCTGTAGCACCATAGTTTAACGCTATAAAGACCATGGTTGTCTCCTTTTGCTGATACCATAACATATATGGCTTGCTATTGTCATCATGACTACACTTTATCTCTGCTAAACCGTTCTTGTTGGCTAATATTGGTGTCAGGTTCTGCTGAAAGTTCACACACCTCGCCTTCTCTGTGGAGGAAAAAGACTTACATTTAGAGATATTCTGCTAAAAAGCAAATGACAATAACAAACATGATAAAGAATAATAATTATGGATCTTTTTTTAACAAAGAACACCTTACCAATAAACAATAGGAAAAATATGCACAGTCCATATGCAGCTTCAGACATCTTTCTAAAACGGGGTTAGAAAAACCCTGGTGATAAACACAGCAAATATTAAGTGACGTGAAACTAAACGAGAGGAAAAACTCTGCAGTAAATAAAGTCACATCTCCCTCTACTGACTGTATCACATCAGCAATGTAAAAGTGTTTTTGGGGGAGGAGTATAATGCCATGATTACAGATCTCAGGTTCTACTGACTTGTCAAGTCACCTTTTATAGCACTTTTAACAATATGGACTGTTTCAAAGCAGCTTTTCAGTGATAATAGGAAATTAAACTAACACAGATTGTGTTGGCTTTACAGCATCTCTAGAATAAAGTTACTGTATTGCTAAAGTTAGTTTTGATGAAAGGGATACTCCACTGGTTTCTCATATTAAACTATGTTATTCCCTTAACTAAGACGAGTTGATGCATACCTCTCTCGTCTCAGTCCGTACACTCAATCGCTCTGTCTTGCCGCAAAACTTTGTTAGCACTTAGCTTAGCCCAGTTCATTAAATTTGGGCCAAAAAGAGAAGCGACCGAACACTAGGGTTGGGTATCGTTTGAATTTGAACGATTCTGATTCCGATTCCTTGTTTCGATTCCGATTCCTAACGATTCTCGATTCCGATTCTTTTAAGAGGCAGGGTCAAAAAAGTTTAGCTAACCTTGCTAACCAACGGTCTTTCTGAAGGAAATAATCCTTTCGGAGGGAAATACTCCTTCTGTAGAAATACTCGTTTTGTCACAAATTTTGCATTTTGCCGAGATTTCGTTATTTTTAGAAAAGTGAAGCCACGCTTTGGATCGCCGACGTAAGGTACTCATGTTCGACTCGCGTGGTTATACCAACATTTCCGGTAGACGCTTCTTCGTTGGTGTTGTTCAGCGGTTTCTTCTTCCGCTCGGCGGACTGTGAATATCGAAACTAGGAATCGAAATTTTAACTTTTGAACGATTCCGGGAAAAACTAAAAGTTAGTCTCGGTTCCAATCGATACTCGATTCTCGATACCCAACCCTACCGAACACCTCCTCGTTTTCCCTATTTAAATACATTTACTCGAGTAGTGTAACTCAACCTAGGCTGGTGACACAAAATAAGACATTGCGCTTTTCTAAGCGTTTAAAATTGATAACAATATTGTATGGGGGAATTATACCATAGCAAGTGCTTGGGTGCACTTCGACTCGGCGCAGTAACATCATCACTCGTAAAAATCACTCGTGTGTATTTCCTGTAAGTTTAGTGGTTTGGTTTTTTGTCAGGCAGGTGATAAAGACTTCAGCACTGTGCATACTGACAGCACAATAATAAACAGCAGAGTCTGATAGACTGAGTTCAGAGATTTCCAGAACGCCGTTCAGTGTATCTGTTCGTTTCAATGTAAACCGCTCTTTAAATCCATCCTCATAGGTTGGGTCACTTGTAGCACCATAGCTTAACACTATTAAGGCCATGGCTGTCTCCTTTTGCTGATACCATAACATATTTGGCTTGGCACTGTCATCATAACTACACTTTATCTCTGCTAAACTGTTCTTGTTGGCTATTATTGGTGTCAGGTTCTGCTGAACGTTCACACATTCCCCCTTCCCTGTGGAGGAAAAAGAAGATAAGCATTTAGATATTCTACTTCAAAGCAAAGGAAAATGATAAACGTGATGAATTTTCTAACAAAGAACATCTTACATATGTACATTAGGAAAAATATGCAGAGTCCATATGCAGCTTCAGACATCTTTCTAAAACAGGGCGAGATAAACACAGCAAAGATTAAGTGACAAGAGACTAAAAACTAAAAGAGAGCGAGACAAAAACTCCACAGTACATAAAGTCACATCTCCCTCTACTGACTGTATTAACGATGTAGTGTTTTGGGGGAGGAGGAGTGTAACGTCATTAATGAGATCTGTATGTGTGAGTTTTCAGGCACTACTGACTTGTCTGTAAAGATATGTGTTCATTTATTTGTGGTTGAGGCAGGTGTGATTCCCGTTGCCATCCAAAGAGTTTTATGTCATCGTTTATTGTCTTTTATTCACTGTGTAAACTCGCAGCACACAGATACACCACATCAATCCCCTCCTTAACATCCACAGTCAGGGTCCATTTCTTTTTCTCTGTACCCAACACTTTAAAGCTAGTTTCAAAGTCCTTCTCAATAGAGGGCGAGTTAACAATGTAGCTTCCAACAAGCACTGGCCCTTCATCTTTTATATGCCTGTACCAGTATTTGTAGTCATAGTTTGTGTCATTCTGGTAACAGTGCATTTGAACTGAAGATCCTGGAAGGCTGGATATGTACTCCGGCCATTGAGTGATCAAAACACTGTCACTGAAATCTGCAAAGATATGTTAACGAACATAGGTTATTGTATTCATTATAAATCTGCATTTGATCAAAAGCTCAAATGTCACTGAGTTCATATTTGAGGTTACAGTTTAATACCTTTAATACAAAGCAATGTGAATAGAAGTAGAAAGGAGTCCATTTAGAGATGCTAGTCATGAAATATGATGTTCCGTTAATGACACCAAGACAAAAAAAAAAACGATTTTTCTTTCTTTAAGACACACCCCTTTGTTGCTAAGTGACGGAAATGACACTTGTTGTCTATGCAAATGCCTTCTTTAAAATGACTGATTTCAAATGCACTTCATATGCACAACTCACCTCCTCTAACCAAATCAGATGAAAAGCAATTACTGGCAGTTGAGTTTATTTGCTATTTTGATTGGTTCATCTAAAAATATATTAGGGCTGCAACAATGTGGAATAACATTGTTTAAAATAATGCATTCAAATGATTTATTTTTTATTAAATAGATTTTTTTTTCTTGTATAATCATTTTTCTAGTTTTCATTCGATTAATGTAAAACATAATCGACAGATTAATGAATGATCAAAATATTAAAAAATTTGTGAAAAAAAAAGTGAAGTAGCCATAAACATTGTGTCAAAGATGTACTCGTTAATGACTTGATGTTTGTCAATGTTGCAACAAAGCAATATTACTTTGGGAATCATGTTTTTTTTTATTATCTGAAAATCAACAAGACTGATTAGACTGCAAGAGTTTCTTCTATAAAATATACTATTTAATACCTAGTTTTATCGATATGTTGCATCCAGTTTAAGTATTAATTTGTCCAAAAATGTCCCGACTCGGTCCACTATCTTGGTTCAGTTGTTTCAATGGGATTGTTGCAGTGCACTCTAGTATTGCATCATCTTTAAAGGGACAATGTGTACTTTTTACGGTGAAGTCCTGCTTTATGCTCAACTGGTAAGTCAATGTTAGTCTAAAGTTTTTTATTGTTTAAGACAGATGAACATTAATAGTTAAAAGTTGATGATGATATCCAACAATGCACGAACTTCAAAAAATACAATACACAATTCGTTTTGAATGCAAAATACATTTTCACCGCTAGATGTGAGAAATTCCTACACAATGTCCCTTTAAAGGATACGTTTGCTGATATGATAGCGCTTCATTTCCTCATAATAAAGCTCTGATTGTGTCTGAGAAAAAGTTCAATCATCTTTTGTTTGTGTAGAAATGAAACCCTGCAACAAATCTTTTAAATTGAAACCCAAATGTACTTTTTAGAAATCCTACAGATGCTATATTGCTTTTGTGTGTGTGTTTCCTGTAAGTTTAGTGGTTTGGTTTTTAGTCAGGCAGGTGATAAAGACTTCAGCACTGTGCATACTGACAGCACAGTAATAAACAGCAGAGTCTGATAGACTGAGTTCAGAGATTTCCAGAGCGCCGTTCAGTGTATCTGTTCTTTTCAATGTAAACCGCTTTTTAAATCCATCCTCATAGGTTGGGTCACTTGTAGCACCATAGCTTAACGCTATTAAGACCATGGCTGTCTCCTTTTGCTGATACCATAACATGTATAACATGTTACTGTCATCATGACTACACTTTATCTCTGCTAAACTGTTCTTGTTGGCTAATATTGGTGTCAGGTTCTGTTTAACTTTCACACACCTCGTCTTCTCTGTGAAAAAAAAAAGATTTTGAGTCATTCTATTTCAAAGCAAAAGACACTAACAAAAAATATTATACAAGATATATTGCCGTCACAAAACATCTTACCTATATACAAGAAGATAAAAATGCACAGACTATAGACAACTCTAAACATTCTTCTAAAGCAGGGTTAGAAAAACTCAAGCACACGTGCACGGGTCAAACACAGCCAAAATAATGTGATGAGAAAGTGTGTGAGACTTTACTGAAAATAAGATTTATATACATCTCCCCCTACTGACTGTATCAATAAGGTCTTATTGTGAAGGTGGTTTTTGGGGAAGGAGGAGTATAACGTCATCAGTACAAAGGTTTTCAGGCACTACTGACTTGTCTGTAAAGATGTGTTCATTTATTTGTGGTTGAGGCAGGTGTGATTGCCGTTGCCATCCAAAGAGTTTTTTGTCATAGTTTATTGTCTTTTATTCACTGTGTAAACTTGCAGCACACAGATACATCGCATCAATCCCCTCCTTAACATCCACAGTCAGGGTCCATTTCTTTGTCTCTGTACCCGAAACTTTAAAGCCAGTTTCAAAGTCCTTCTCAATAGAATCGGTAGTCCCGACGATGTTTCCAACAAGCACTGGCCCTTCACCTTTTAAATGCCTGTACCAGTATTTGTAGTCATAGTCTGTATCATTCTGGTAACAGTGCATTTGAACTGAAGATCCTGGAAGGCTGGATATGTACTTCGGCCATTGAGTGATCAAAACACTGTCACTGAAATCTGCTGGAAATTCAATAATAGATCAGATTTGTTATCCCGTAAAAGTATACATCAGAAAAACCATAAAAATCTTGCCTTCATATTACAGTTTAATAATACCTTTGAGAAAAAGCAGTGAAATGGATAGAAGAAGAAACATTGCCATTTAAATTTCCCTCTGCGATGTGTTCTCTGGTCCTCTTATATTATTCACTACTTGACAAACTGGAGATTTATAAGCCACGCCCCTTTGTTACATCATGCTTGGGTTAAAATAGAATATAATTGGATGAATCTATTGTGAATTAAAAAGATTAAGATAATTCAAATAACATACTATTTGAATTCAGCAAATTAAAAAAAGTTAAATTCTTTTTTATTTAATGTTTTATTTTCATATTACAGTATATACGTATTTATTATTAAATAATTTCTTGTACTTTTTTCTCACAATTGCGGGTTTATACCTCACAATACTCACCATAAACTCGAGTCCAAGTCTGAGGGGGGAAAGACTGATGTTTTTTTTTCTCAGAGTTGCAAATTCATGAGAAAAAAGGTCAGAATTAGTTCATATGATGTATCCCTAAACTCGCAATTGCAAGAAAAAAAAAATCAGAATTGTAAAAGTCAAAATTGCCTTTTTCATTTTTTTTCCTAGGCAGAAACAAGCTTCCATGCCTTCCTTCACAGTTTTTATGAGATTAAAAGGTTTTGTGAGATTCACTCAATTATAGCTGCCAATAATCACCCTCTTTACGAATTTCAGCTCTGCTATAAGCCTTTTTATCAGATTATAAACTACACTGTCATTTAAAACCAAAAACCACAGTTACGTTTCCATTTCCTGTTTTAATGCGCAGGATTTTAGTCAGGCAAGTGATTGAGAATATAACACTGTGTCTTCTAGCAGCACAGTAATAGACAGCAGAATCTGAATAACTCAGGTCAGAGATTAGCAAAGCACCAGTCGTGGTGTCCTTTCTGGTCATCTTGAATCTCTTTTGGAATCCGGATTCATAGTTTGGGTCAGCCATATCATATCCATAACCGATGAGGGCCAGCGATTTGCTGTCATGAAGTTGTTGATACCATAACATGACATCTAAGTTTTTATCATCGTGAGTACAGGAGATCACTGCCTTCTCATCTGGCTTTCTGAAGAGAGACAAAGGCTGATCAAACTGAACACAATCTGACAGACCTGTGTGAAGAAAATGAAATTAAATTGTTATATTTTTCCTACGAAATGAGTTTTTTAAAAGAGAATAAATGATGTCAAATAATTCAAAAACATCATACGTGCATGTAAGATGATAAAAATGGCTAGTCTATAAGCAACGCGGAACATCCTTTTATCATGAAGCTGTTGAGAGAGTAAGATATAGCAGCCAGTACACATTAGCAGTATCTCTACTGTAAGTTTATTCACTAGAATTAGACCTCCCCCTACCGTCTGTTACACCCCACAGCTCTGGAGTTATGCATAAGCAGATGTGCAATACCACAGATTGTACACTTAGACGATATAGTAATGCTTATTAAAACAAAATTTTGGTGTAAAATAAATATATTTTGTTGTACTCTCTAAAGTTTTGTGTATTTGAATTGAAACTTATTTCTAGTTTCTTAATTTTATTGGATGTGCACTTGTATTGTTCTTCAAATTCTAAAAGTAGTTTTTAAAACACTGTACATTTAGATAATATAATATTAATTAAATAAAAGCCACTACTTAGTTAAGTGTACTTAGTTTCCATTTAAATAAAAATGTTAGTATTTTGACTCTAGTATGGATATGTTAACCTTACTGTTATCTATAAGCTAGTGTGCTCCAAAACAATGACAAAATTCTCATTTATAAAATAAGCATTCAAAACGTGCCATCCAACATCCACGGACAGTCTCTTACTTTGGTCAATATGGATCAATGATTTTGATGACATCACTCTGCACATCAGCTTCCCGTCAAATTTCCTGTCCAATCAAATGCTCTCTGTCTCAATCTAAAGCGTCCCACCCTCAAATAGACGTTGAAGCTGCAGCTGAAATTGGTCAAATGTGCAAGATAG